ACCTGCTTTGCGTCATTCTGATGAGACTCTTCTGGGCAATATGGGCATTTTAAACGGTTATTTCTATGATTACTGCACAGCTTCGTCACAGCCTCTCTGGATATCACATGTCCGCAGGTAAGCCGCATGGGTGGGTTATTATCCGTGCTTTGTTGACGTAGGATAGGACATGTAAAAGTGGAATGCACATACTCATCAATCTTCACCTCTACAGGCAATTCTTCCCCACTGAATAAATGATCTTGCCGATTGACCATAACTTGTTTTAGGTTAACCAGTATGGGCACAGCGCGCATTCCCGTTAATATAACGTTTGCGAAACGTGTATCGCTTTGGGCCAAAGCCACGGACATTCTCGATTCCAAAGCAGGCCAGGCCAGAGGGCTAAAAAGCGATTCGTAGCGTGGGTCATTTCTGTCCTTCCCCATCACAATAGCCCCCATAACCTTGGCCGTTTCTTGTTCGTAACCAAAAGGAGACAACTGACGTCCAAACTGCATCGCTTCTATTCTTCGTCCCTCCTGAATCAGCGCCACCATATGTTGTTTCAACAGGTCGTACTGTAACTTTGTATCGCTATGTGGGTTTTGTTTCAACCAGGCAACTGCCGGTCCAATATCTTGATTCTTCAAAGCCTCCATTATCCAGTCAATGACTTTTCTATTAGCAAGATAACCATCAATGCGGCCGCCTAGACCAGCTTCTTTCACGAGAATCTCCGCAATGCTTGTATGGCCACAGGTCATCAGGTAATCGCACACCATACCATCAACTAATCGCTGAGATTTCGGATCTCGTTCGATGTCCTTCTCGTTGCGAATCAATCCACCAATCTCTTTGTGAGTCGATTTGTCTATATCCTTTCCAATTTGCGACACACCGTGATGTAGAGATTTGTGATGAGCAAGCATTTGCGATAGAGTTTCCTCACCCTTGGTGCCTAGCTCGCCCAGCAGCATTTGACCAGTCACTGATACTTCTGGTGTTGTGTCATCTGAGAGAAGCTCTGTATCGTACAGTTCAGCACTAGCCAGCAGTTTAGACATATTGGTGTCCCATGTTCCTTCGAACTGGTCGAGCTCATTTGAGAGTCGATTAAGGGATGATTCGATTTCGATCAGGGACTCCCCAGTTTCGGACATTCGCTGAAAAAATCTATCTTGTAAAATCAAAATAACGCGCAAATTATGAATACATTAACGTAACGTCCTACAGTTCGTATGAAGTAAAGTAGGCAACAAGAGGAAAGAAATACTTTAAAAGTTTCAAAAGTGACAATTTCACTCAAAAATTTCCTTTTTTTTTCTACTCTATTACTGGCTTTTTAGACATACTAAGCTTTTAGTTCTTAATAGCTCAGGTCAAAATATACGTTCATGCAGCACTCGGGAAAATCCAGCCCATATTCAACAAATTGCAGGAAAT